TTTCTCTGGATATAGGAAGTCTGAATGCTGTTTCTAGGGACTCTGAAGATTTTAAAGTATAGCATCAGAGAATCAGAAATACTAGTTGGTGAAATAAAAAGCTGAGGCTTTGTTGGCTTATCTTTTGAAGCGTGTATTATGTGTAGTTAGACATACCTCACTTGTGGGAGTCATCCGGGTATCCGTCAGAGCCCAGTATTTGTGTGTGCCCTTCCCTAGCCCCTTAGAGTAGCTACTTGAGACTTAAATATTGGGTTGCTTGGGTTGGTGGACTAGTTAACTGCCAGAAATCATGGCCAATTACTGATTATGAAACTAAATAACAATCCATTATGTGCTTTGGTGCTTTGCGAGTTTAGCTCAGCTAAAATCACCTGAAACTGGGCCAGTTTGAAGGGGAATATGGACAAAATATTTGTAAGTAAAACTTCCATGCTTCACCCTTGCCAAATGTGAGGTCTGTCATCACGATAACCCTAAGTAAAAATACTGGAATTTGTAGTCATGTGATTACTGGGTTTGGGGTAAGATGGGAAGAAAGCCTTCACTGCTCCTGACCATAACTTGGAAGGTAATAGGGTGGGTGGGTGTGTGGAAACACTTATCTTCTTCCCAGAGATAAACTTCACAAAAAGTTGTGATGGCTTAGAGAAAGGAGGGGTGAGGTGGTAGGGACTAAATTTGCCTAGTCCTTTTCCTCCTGAACTCAGGAATGGTGGAAAGGAAAGCAGTGGAGATGAGAACCCAAGGAAATGTCTGTTTCAAGGTGGTTAAAATGACAGCAAAGAAGGAAACCCTAGTTTGAAAAACCACATTACCTTACTGTAAAAGAAGGTTGGTTTGGATTCATGTGTGTGTGGATGAGAGTAATCACATCTATTAATGATTGCCACCAAGACATTTGCAAATCTGATCAAAATCACCAGCCCAGGTAGGAATGACTGTCCCAGTTTGGGTTGAACATCTGTGTTACAGTGAGCAAAAAAGGTGGTTTAAAATAGAAAGTGACTCCCCAATGAGAAATGCGATAGCCCATGTGGTTCAGTAAGTCCTGGACAAGGGGAGAGTTTCAGTAGTGTGAGCATGGACTCGACCGGTGACGGTTGGGAATGGGCTCATTTTACTTGACTTAAACCTACAGGCATTTATATTGCATTTAATTTCACTGGTTCAGAGGTCTAATGCTGGAGTCAATCCATTTCCCCATCTTCATTGTTCTTATTCTGAAACCCATCATCCTGACCCACTGTTGTCCACTGCTGACCTGCAGTCACTGCAGTTACAGGCTCACCTTTTGGGTGGCACCCGGAGCCAAATGCTGAGGGAAGCTCAGTGTGCTTTCAGGTGGCACCAGACACTGCTCTGATTCCCACGGTGTCTCCTGCTCCACAGGACAGCAGGAGGCCAGTTCTTTAATAGCCATATGAACATTACTTGCTGATTCTCCATCACATTAGAGCAGCAAAATCATCCCAATAGTACTATCGTTATTAATTTGTTAAAATACTCTGAATTGCCTCAGTTTTTAAACAGCGTCTATGAAATCAGGGATGTGGGGAAAATACATACTTTTTAATATGCGTTAATATGTTAAAAATCCCTACACAGAACCAAAAATCTCATATCACATATTGGAAAACACTGCTCTAGCTCACTTTTTTTTTTTTTTTTTTTTTTTTTTTTTTTTAAGTAGACCTACCACACGTGGTGCTCAGATTCACAACCCTGAGGTCAAGAGTTGCATACTCTACCAACTGAGCCAGCCAGGCAACCCTGTACCATTCATTTTAAAGATGTAAAATGGTAAAGATCTTTCAAGTTTGCACCAATCTAGTCAACACTCTTTGGGCCCTTAGATTCAACCAACTGATTTTATTCAAGTCATGCTTGTCCAGTTTATCCACATGAGTATCACAAAAGATTTGGCCAAATGCTCTGTTAAAAGCAAGGTGTTTTGGCTCCACGATCTTGCTTTCATCTAGTTGAGTGTTGTAAAATACAGGAGGCGATGCACTGCTATAGGTGTTTTTTCCATAAGCCAACTAGAAGACAGTAAATGTCTTCTCCCTCATGAGAACAGGCTAAGCACTAGGGAGGAGTATTTTCAAGTATCCGGGTGGGTGTGTAAAATATATAACAATGGTGGTATTTTTTGAGAACAGACAGAGTGACATGGTGCAGTGACTTTGAACATAGCCCTCATTCAGTATTTACTATTCATCATCTGCTATACACATGGAGTTACGGTTGCCATCCTTGGCATGTCATCGCTGAATGAAGCAGAGGTCACTCCTGGGTGTCCATTGTTTCACTGCAGTGTTCTTTTCATCCTCAGTCGTCATAAGGCATGGGATGGTTAGGTCTGAGATCCAGCCTTACCCACTGCAGCAGAACAGGATCCCGGAGGACTGACCCAAGTACAGATGAAGATGACCCAGACTGGCAGGCAAATTTAGCTCCGTCCAGGAGACAGCTTTCAGAACTAGTGCTTCTGGCAGGAGTCAAGATGGAAGGGCACAAATCTAGTGGGAAATCTAAATGATATGGAATCTGGGGGACAGAAGGGGCCTGAGGGGAGGCTTAGAAGTAGAGAGAGGCAGGCATTCACTTCAAGGGGGGCTCTTGAAAGATAACCAGCAAGGGCCCCAGGTGCCTGGCAAGACTGAGTCAGCATCCAGGCCTGGGGAACAACTGTAGTGTCTATAGTTTACAGAGAGAAATGAATACACAGACCTCTTAACAAGAATTAGGTGACTCAGGCTAGGAATTGGGAAGGAAGAACATGGTCATCAGTGTTAGAAACCACACCAGTGGTAATGTAACCAGTGGTTCAAGTTGTTGCCTGGCCTGATTCAGTGTTGCTCTCAGGAAGCTTAATTATCTCCTGATTCAGGTCACTCTCAGTCCAAGGAATGGAGTGTGGCATTAGCATGCAAGTGGCCCCAGTGCGGTGCAGGGTAAGAACTGGATCTCAAGTGTGTTTAGCAACAAAACTCATGTTTTCCCCATTGCCCCTATCCAAGAGAGATGGGAGAGGCAAACAATTCTTTAAGAGGGAGACCTAACACTAGCTTTTGGGGGTGTGATCAGTCTGTTCACTAGACTAGAAGCTCCGTGAGAGCAGAAACGGTGTCAGGCTCACCATTATACCCAAAGTGCCTAGCAGGGCCTGGCTCATGTTCAATGAATATTTGCTGAATATTTAAAGGAAGGCAAGAATGGATCAACAAATGGAGACACAGTCTCTTTATGGTGGGTTATTCCATCAGGCTTGCCTGGAGTTTTACGGAAATACCCTTTGCCTAAACATTCTATACCATTTAAGGTTTTTGTTCCATGATATCCAAGCAATCTTCCGATTCAAGATTTAAGATTCTGATTTCTTCATACTGGATGGGATTCAAATTCAACGACTAGTACTTGTGTTTCCCTGTGTCATTTTTAAAAAAGATTTTATTTATTTCTTTGACAGAGATTACAAGTAGAGAGGCAGGCAGAGAGAGGAAGGGAAGCAGGCCCCTGTGTCATTTATTATATTGACATCTAGTTAGTACCTCAGTGACATGTGAACCAGGTGAACTATCGGTTTCTGAGAAGATGGGTATCCAATCTGGTCCTCCACGATTGAGCTTCAGACCCTGACATATGGGACCTACTCATGATCTGAGATCCTCTGTAGCAGGAAGAGAAGACTGATATATCATAAAAGCATCTGGCTACAGATCTATATTGTTTATCTCTCATATTGTTGTTGTATTTTTAAACATTGATCCTCAGGTATCCAGAATTATATTCCTTATGTTCCTTAAGTTCTCAGTACTGGCTTGTATACTGGATCAAACATTGTTCACTCACACAAAGATTCAGATTTTTGTCTTTTCTTAAGGAATTGAGAGGTTGGGATGCCTGGGTAACTCAGTAAAACGTCTGCCTTGGGCTCAGGTCATGATCCCAGAGTCCTGGGATCAATTACCACATTGGGCTCCTCAGTCAGCAGGGAGCCTCCTTCTCCCTCTGCCTGCCATTCCCCCTGCTTGTGCGCTCGCTCTCTCACTCACTCTCTCTCTCTGACAACGGAAGGAAGGAGGAAAGAAATTGAGGGATCTTCCAACATGGGATCTATTTCACGACATGGCCTCCATTAGTGGCTACTTGGGAGTGCTGTCCCTGTTGATACCAATCTCTGTTGTCTCCTGACCAAGGGGTTTCATGTTATTTCGTGTGTATCATTGGGCTTGAACTCTTGTTGTTCTAATAAAGTGGAGAGGGCTATTATATTGTGTCCACTTCACCCATTTGTGTCACCTGCCTGGCGGGTGTCAGCATGTGAGTTGAGAACCTCACTCTGTGGGGGGGGTGGGCACAACTCTTTCAGCATCCTTAGTGACAGCAACCATTCACTGAGCCCTTATTACATGCAAAGTCCTGAGCTAACAGTTTTTCATACATTATCTTTTTAATTCCTATAAAACCTTATGAGGTGAGTATGGGCTATTACTTCCATCTTGCAAGTGTGGAAGCTGAAGCCCAAAGATCGAAATAACACCCACGATTATAAAACTTCTAACTGATGACACTGAGATTCAAACCTTGGCCTGCCTAGGTCCAAAGCTGGGACTTTTCAACTTTGCATTACATTGCTACCCTAACCAATAACCTGATAACACTGCCTCCATACAGTGTTTACTCCTCCTCATACTCAATCCCTGGGGGACAAATCCCAGGAACAGGGCTGAGCACTGCCCTGAACTCGCCATGGCCCTTGGCAGACACCCACTGCATGCCAGTGTCAGACCGAGCTATCACTTTGCAAGCTCTGAGAGCTACAGCTCGACTGGAGAGGGAGGATGGGAGGTGCTGGGGTCACTGTGACTCGGGCAGCAGCCCATTAATCACTGCCCCTGGCTTTGTGTGTGTGTGTAGCTGGGCTATGCCAGCACTGTCCCAGAGCTCCTATAAAGGGGCTCGAGCCCTAAGCTCACAGCTCTCAGACCTCTGAGATGGGCAGACTGTTGCTGTGGATTGGTGAGTGTGGCAGGTCCCAGCCCCCACAATATTACTCAGTCCAGGAGATACCAGGCTTCCTACGTTTGTCACCTCTCGAGTGCCCGAGAAGCAGCCAGGGGCTTGGGGCTGGATTAGATGGAGGTGGGATGGGAAACAGCGAAGGGCTGGAAGAGCCCAGGCAGGAGTGAGCTGAGCAGTGGTTCTCCAATCCAGCTACCCATTAATTATCTTTACGCCCCGTTCTACGTTGGACCAGTGATATCAGAATCTCTAGGGGAGGAGCCAGAACATTACTACGTTTTATACTTACAGCCAGGGGGAGAATCACTGGCCTAGAGCTTTTGCTGGGACTTCTAAGTCATCGTTGTCCCCATGCTAATCAGCATGTGTGAATCGATGTGGTGTTTATTGGGGTGAATAGGAGCTTTGATAGATCTGGCAACAGTGGCTCAACTTAGAGAAGAGGAAGCCAGTGAACACAGCATGTCTCCATGTGTGTGTCAGTGTCTGGCTATGGGCCCCAGTTCGTGGGTGCCCTGGAGGACCGGAGTGGGGCTGGGGCATGTCACTCGGGGAGAGCATGGGAATTTGAGTGTGATTCCATCCTTTGTTTCCTGCAGGCCTGGTTCTTGTGCTGAAACAGCACGATGGTAAGGACATTGCGTCCTCCTCTCCAGAGCTGGGGAGCTTCTCTGGCTAAGTTCTCTGTGTGGAGTGTCCCTTGCAGCCCTCCCTGTCCCAGTTCCTGTGTCCCAGATCATTGATATGCTGCAGTTCAGTGGAGGATTTTTAGTCCCAGCCATTTGTGTCGCTCTGTGTGCCAGGATCCAGACTCGAGGATCCATTCTGATCAGGACTGCATAAAGCACTCTTTTCCCCCTGGGGCCTCAGCAGTAGGGGTGGGGGGGGGGCAGACCTCAGGGTTGCTTTGGGCTGTGTTTGCATGGGGGTCGGGGTATTCTGGTGGCCAGGCCTCCCAGGCTGTGGTCACAGCGGTCAGCGGAAGCCAAGCTCCATACCCTCCCTTGGTCTCTGCCAGCTAACACATGTCCTCCCTTGCCAGGCGCTGCCTACAAACTGGTGTGTTATTTCACCAGCTGGGCACAGGGTCGCGCCAGCCCTGCCTCCGTCTTGCCCCAGGACCTGGACCCCTTTCTCTGCACCCACCTGATATTTGCCTTTGCCTCAATGAACAACAATCAGATTGTTGCTAAGGATCCCCAGGATGAGAAAACTACGTATGCAGAGTTCAACAAACTCAAGCAGAGGTGTGTTCATTGGCATGTGGGGATCATTTTTTCAGGAGGTCCTAGCCTCCTCTCAAGTGGGCCTTGGGAGCATCCCCGCCTGAGAACTCCCTGTTGAATAACACCCAAGCTCATTCTTTCCTCCTTGCCCTTGTGAGGCCTTTGTTGCCTCTGCCTGGTAACTCCCAACTCACCCTTCAAGCCAGTGGGGTGGAGTTCATGTACTCATGCTGTTCGAGTGCTTCAAGGAGAGCCTGCCCATCACAAATGCTAGGGTCTTTATTACCATTTGTCACCTGCACCCCCCAGCCAATAAGTCCCACCCCCCCAAGGCAAGGAGCAGGGTCTCCAATATGTTTGTATACCAGTGGCTGGGGGAGTGCCTTGGACACAGCTGGTGCTCATTAAGTGCTTGCTTAACTATTCCTCCCCACAACTCCTGGGTTCTCTCCCTGTCCAAGGGGAGGTCTGTCTCTGTGTGAATGATTATAGATGGCCAAGGTAAAAATCCTTGTCACTTGATCACAGGCTCCCTGAGAGCAGGGAGCTTGTCTGTCTCACTCTCTGTTGTATCTCAGTCAAGCACCTAAAGCCATCAACCGCGCATAGTAATTGCTCAATAAATACTTGTCGCCTAAGAAAACAGTGAAAAAAAAAAAAAACCATTTCAGACTACTTCTTTCTTCTTCTTTATGTGGGAACATCATGGGGATGAGGGGGAGTTTTGTGGACTTTGGACAAGCCTGGGGGGAACCTGGGTTGTGATGACCCATGGTTTGATTGTTCTCCCCTCTTTTCCTTCCTTTTCTTCCCTGTGCTTTGCTCTGCTCTCCTCTCCCTCCCTCCACCTCCCTTCCTCTTTCACTTCTCCACCCTCCCCCTCTACTTTGCACTGTTCCCCAGGGACCCACTGGAGTGGGGCCCCAGGTTACCTCCATTTATCCCCCATCACAGGAACGCGGAGCTGAGAACACTGCTGTCCATTGGTGGGTGGAATTTCGGCACTACCAGGTGAGACTGCAGCCCCCTCCCTACTGTTTGAATTCCTCCATCGCGGGTATTTAGCCCCGCCCCGCCCCGTGCTGGGAGGGGCTTCTAAGAAGGATGGACCCGCCTTCCTTTCCTCCAGCCATAGCTGTGTGCCCTCTGCCGGGCAAGAACCAAAGGGCTTTGTAGAGGTTGCGGTTCTGCAGAAAGCCCTCCTTCCCCGCCTCACCCCGGGTCTCCTGCAGGTTCACCACTATGCTGTCCACATTATCCAACCGGGGAAGGTTTATTGGTTCGGTTATATCCCTCCTGAGGAGACATAAGTTTGACGGTCTGGACCTCTTCTTCTTGTACCCTGGACTGAGAGGCAGCCCCAAGAGTGACCGGTGGACTTTCCTCCTCTTACTTGAAGTAAGGCCAAGTCCGGCGGGCTCCAGGATCCAGCAATGATTCGATTTTTATCATATCTGGGCTCATGGCGCAGGAGGAGCACAAGGCCAGGGGCAGGGGCAGGAGAATGGTGGTAGAACGTTCTTTTACTACCATCATCTTATAAGTGTCAGGCGAAAGAGCAGGAGTCTTGTGGCTCTTGCTCTTGGTCACAATCAGGTCCTATTGCAGCAGGCCAGCCCAAGTGACGCCTCCTTTCGGCAGCTGCCGGGTCTCCCTCAGGCAGACAGTCTGCAGCCTGTGCTCCCGACCCTGCCGGCCACGCCTCTACCCCTCCCTCTATTAAGTCAGTTATCATGGTGGCTCGAGGCCACCTCTCTCGCGAGCCTAGGGGAAGGGCCCGTGTCTGGCTCCCCTCTGTGTCCTCAGAGCCTGGCTCGAAGGGCTCTGTAAATAGTTTTCCTGGCTGATACTTTCTTTTCCTGACGGTGCGGACGCTGCGTCCGCGTCTTTCTTGGTAGGAGCTCCTGTTTGCCTTCCGGCAGGAGGCGATGCTCACGGCGCGTCCCAGGCTGCTGCTCTCTGCCGCCGTCTCTGGGGACCCACAGATCATCCGGACGGCTTATGACGTGCGCCCTCTAGGAGGGTGAGTGCGTGCTGCCTGGCGGGGCAGGACGTGGGAGGCAAGGAGGCAGCTCACGCTCACAACCAATGCACCGCCCCCGCACTTCCCCTGAGTTCTCCATGCACAAGAGCTGGTGGTGGTGGTGGGGGGGCATCCAGCTGAGGGACACGGGTGGGGACAAAGGTTAGCTCAGCTCCACATAGCCCGGGCTTTCTTTAGGAGATCAGAGATGGAGTGTAGAATCAGTCCCAACCATCACGTCCTCTTGGGTAGTGGGTTCCGCAAAGCCTTTTGCTGGGTCTCACAGGCAAGCATCCCATGGGCCCGGCCTCTGCCGTCCCAGGGGACAGCTGTAGACATACGCTCTGCCGCCCATGGCTGGCATCAGAGGCAAATGAAAAATCACCCACCGCCACAAATACAAAAATAGGAAAGCCCAGCCAGGCTCAGCTTTCCTAGTACCCGTCTTTGTGCAAGTTACAAAGCAGAGAAAAGAATAGCTCATAACTTTTTTTTTTTTTTTTCTTTTTAAAAGATTTTACTTATTTGTCGGGAGAGCTAGAGAGCGGCAGGGGGAGCTGCAGGCAGAGGGAGAAGCAAACTCCCCGCTGAGCAGGGAGCCTGACCCTGGGCTTAATCCCTGGACCCTGGGATCCTGACCCAAGCCGAAGGCAGTCACTTAACCCATGAGCCACCAGGCAGCACTCAGAACTCACTCTTTCTGGACATGCCAACTCTGGGCTAATTTCTCAAACCTCAAGAATGGAATTTTTACAGAGGAGGAGCTGAGGCCGGTGCAGAAGGAAAGAGAGGATGGGGTGTTGTGTGTGATGACACCAGAAAGCCGGGTTTCAGTGTGGGGGCCAGGGAGAGAGACCCCGTGGGGCATAGAGTTTGTCAGCATTGGTGTGGATAGCAGACAGGATTGAGGGAGTCTGACCCTCAGGCAGCTGGGTGACCGCAGGCAAGTTAGTGAGCCTGGCAGAGTCTCACCATCTTCAGCTCTAAAATGGAGACCACTGTGACACTGAGGCCATTGACCAGGTTAAAATTAAATGACGGAATCCTTGTACACCTTTACGCCTGTGACCTGGTAAGTGCTTACTGACGCTTGTTCATTCTGAAAGTGTTCTGGAAGACATGGTTTCCCTGGCGCCTCGAATGGTGGAAGGACAGATGCTCTTTAGCTGCTGTGGGCAGTACTGCCTTCCTCATGATATTTACGCAACCTGTTAGTACTTGCGTCAGGCACGAGTGTGTTTCCTTCTGAAAATTTTTAAAAAGATTTTATTTATTTATTTGAGAGAGTGAGCGAGTGTGAGCGTGAGCATGGGAGGAGGGGCAGAGGGAGTGGAAACAGTCTCCCTCCCGAGTGGGGAGCCCGACACAGGACTCGATCCCAGGACCGTGGGATCATGACCTGAACTGAAAGCAGATGCTTAACCAACTGAGCCACCCAGGCGCCCCACAAATGTGTTTTCATGTCCGACTCCTGCCTACTTCCCTGGAAGCTCTCAGGATGGCCCAAGTTCTGAGGCATGGCTGTCCCTGATCAGCAGTTTGCTGCGGCGGCTCATCTCAAGTAGAAGACACAGACGGGCGGGCAGCCTGGGCTGAGATGGGAGGGCAGCTTGGGTGGCCAGGGCACAGCTAGTTAGCTGGCTAGTCCCATGGTTGATCTGACTTGAAAATCTCGTTAGCCCAATCTGCTTATCTCCTCCTTTCGGCCTCCACAGACTCCTGGATTTCATCAATGTCTTGTCTTATGACTTTCATGGAAGCTGGGAAAAGCTCACAGGGCACAACAGCCCCCTGTACTCTCTGTCTGGAGACCCCAGCTCTTCGGTAAGGAAAGACCTCAAGGGGCCCAGATGCCTGCCGTGAGCCCGGGGCATCGGCCCTCCATAACATGTAGGGGTTTGTGTTCTATCTCCTGCAGGCGTACACCATGAATTACTGGCGAAAGCTGGGGGCGCCCCCAGAGAAGCTCCTCATGGGCTTCCCCACCTATGGGCGTACCTTTCGCCTCCTTAAAGCCTCCAAGAATGGACTGCAGGCTGAAGCCGTGGGACCTGCATCTCCAGGAAAGTACACCAAGCAGTCTGGCTTCCTGGCTTATTATGAGGTGACAGAAATAGGGACGTCTATCTGTTAGGGCTTCTCCATCCTCTAACAGAGCAAGAGCAAGGTCAGCGGGGCAGAGGCAAGGGTGAGGACTGGAGACAGGACAAAGAAGTGGTTTACCAGTGCAGGAGAAATCCACTATCAGAGATACTTCCTTTTTCTTCAGGGGAAGGTATTTGAGTCCCTTGTAGGGGATAAGGGGCTCAGTCAAGTCCAAGTGGGGGGGGCTCGAAAGAATCTTAACTGTTATGCAAGTCAATCCTGACTTATGACTATCTGGCCTAAATAAAAATAATATCTGAAATATATATAATTTCAAACATTTGCAAAAGTAAAAGAATAGTGTAACCTCCTCTCCCCCCCCCACCACTCCCACCTACCCCTCCCCAGCTTCAATCACTAAGCTCTCCTGGCCAATCTTGTTTCATCTTCACTCCCTGATTCCCTTCCCTCCCACTACTGGATTCTTTAGAAGCAATTCAAGACTTTCCTTCCTACAGATTCTTTCTTCTTCCCCCAGTTCCATTCCCTTATTCTCTGTCTCAACAAAGCTTTCTACTGAGTGGAAGGAAGAGATATGGACCCAAGGGGATACAAACACAAGGGAGGATAATAAGAGAAACAGGGGGGGGTGTGGCTTAGGGATCTGGAAAGGTTTCATGGAGCAGAGCTTTGGAGCACAGGAAGAATCCTGATGGGCAGGAATGATGAGAGGAAAGGGCCTCCCAGGCAAACGACAGCAGGTGCTGGGGCACATGGTGTATGTGGGTGCCTTAGGTAGGAGTGGAGGCACAGGGTCTCCCCAGTCTTTGCTCTCTGCTGGCTGGTTGGAGAGGTTTTCCTGCTAAGCCAGTGAAGGTTTTCCTACAAGTGATGGCATAGTGGAAATAATATTCTTGAACAACATTACAGCCAAAAAGATGTTGACGGAACCTTTAAAGAACCAAAGAGAGGAAGAAAGGAAAGAAAAAAAGCCTGGGGCATGAGCTTCTACAACGGGCTGGAACACTTCGACTTATTTGTGGCATAGGGTTTCCAGTACAAGCCCGGTCACCTAGTAGTCACTCAGATGGTTGAGTGATTATAATTACCCAGTTCTCCCTACCTTTGAGAACTTTAAATTTATTGGAGGTTCACAAGCTAGTGTGATAACTACCGAGACTGGGCCCTTCAGGCTGATTTCTAATGAAGAGTGGAGAGGTTTGTTTATGGTAACTCTTGGGAAGAGATCTGGGTTTGGTCAGGTGGGATAGATTACCGTTAGTATTGGCATTGATGTTATTTAGCCAAGACCTGATTTGGTTTCTAAGGATGTCAGCCACTCCTTGGTTCTGTCTCCCTTTCCATCATGGACATTAGAGAAAGGAACATGTTCTAGTAGGAATTTGTTCAGGAAAGAGAAGGTCCTCTGTGAGTGGCTTCCCGGTACCTCTTTGGTCCGCCTTTTCCTACTCTCGGGGGAGGGGCCCTTGGTTTCTTCACTACTGGGAAAAGAGCAGTGTGTCTGCTGGCATTTCTCTCCATGACTCTTCCCAGAACTAACCTGGTGATCCTCCGGGCAGGTTTGCTCCTTTCTCCAGAGAGCGACAAAGCACTGGATTGATTTTCAGCATGTCCCCTACGCCTACAAGGGGAAGGAGTGGGTTGGCTATGATAATGCCATCAGCTTCAGTCACAAGGTAAGACCTTGGTCCTTTCTTGCTCCGGAATATAGTTTTCTTCTGGTTCCCATGAGACTCTTATCTGTACAATGTGTGTGTGTGTGTGTGTGTGTGCGCGCGCGCACGTGCGCACATGTACACGCATGCATGTGTGTGCATGTACTGGTTGGAGGATAAAAAGGCGAGGGTGGCTGGATCAGGTGAGTCTCAGGTACCTGACCTACCTGGGGTTTCCTAATCCCGTCTATTCAACCCTCTCCTTTTGAAGAGAAGGAATTTTGGTTTTGAGGGGAGAAATGACTTCTTTCGGTTTACACAGATTTTTGGCAACGTTTCTTCTTTTCTGTTTGGACCAGATAATTTCATAACAGATAAATAGCAATACAAGGTAGACCATGCTAAGCGTTCCATGAGTGGCACTGATATGTGGGGTACGAGAGTCAGGGAGGGCCTCCTGATGGAGGTGAGCCGCAGGGGGAAATAAGGACAGGGGGAGAGGTTCAGTGGGTACTGAAAGCTCATTCAAAGTAGGTTCAAAGAATTTGGGTGTGGGGCAGAGAATTTTTGTTAAGTGTAAGAGAAGGTGGTGAAGTGCAGGCTGGTTTATAGAGGGACTTGAATCCTGGTGAAGGTGTGTGGCCCACTTCTTGCAGGTATTTTAACACAAAATCAGGTTTCTGACCAGGCATATGACCTGTAAGTTTGAAGCCTTTAGAACCTAACTCTGATCACCCCCTCACCCCATGCAAGCGATGTTGAATGGAAGTGAGCCAGGCGGGTTTCCATAGTGAATTACAACAGAAATGATATGCCTTTGGTGATTTCCAAACCTGCCCATGCTTTGGAATCACCTGAGACTTGACAAATATAGAAATTCTTGGTTCCATCCCTGAGTATTTAGCAGGTCTTAGAAAGAATTTGGAAACTGTTCTTAGTATGTCCCCATGGGATCCTGCTGTAAGCACTCTGGCATTCTGAAAGCACTGGGGAATGCAGAGGTGTGCAGGGAAGATAGTGAGGGCGTGGACCAGGTGGTTGGAAGAGGAGGTAATTTTTGAATAAGAAATGATCAGGACTTGGCAACTACCAGGATATCGGGGCTTATTAGAAGTTCCAGTCTCCTCTATTATCGGTGATGCAGAAGTAACAGGTGTCAGCTGTTCTTTGGAGGAAGTTTGGGGTAGAAAGCATCAGAGAGGGCAACATTCATGAAGATCCACTGTAACCTCCCCTGTGCATATTGCTGGGTGAAGCCTGCTGCGGGGAGAGAGGTAGAGAGCATGGCTTTCAGCCTCCAGGATCTTACTCTGGTTTGGGACCAGAAGACACACACAGAAAAATTCAGTGACTCAGTGGAATTACCCAGTTGGATGGAATTAAGAATATGACCCTCAGGACACGGGAGAAGGAATTGACCTATGTATGCTGGGAGAGGACCCAGGCCAGCCAGGATGGTGTCCTCGCTTTGAGGGGCTGTTACCACGCCTTGAAGAACTAGAGGGGGGGCAGAACCCTGTGTGAGGCTGATTAAGGGATTTCATCCCAGAATCCCAGAGCTTAAAGAAACCTCAGAGATCATCATCGGGAGAAAATTATTCCTGGATTTCTCAGTGTTCCTGCACGGTCTGGGCCCTCTGAGCAAAGGAAGCGGACGAGCTCTAATGAAAATAGGAAGCTGCCTCTCCCTCTCCCTCAGAGCCCTTGCTATGGTCCCAGATGTAGAGGTCCCCTCCACAGAGAGGGCTTGTCTACGTTCCAGTGAGGCTCTCCCTCTCTCCGGATGACGGTCTGATTTGCCGGCTGTCCTTGATGAGCTCATGAGTTCAGGAGCCTGTGCTGACCCCTTCCTGCACGTGGAGGTGACTATCTGGCCTTTGCCGTGTCATTCTCTGGGCAACTGGTGCACGAGGACCAAGATCTAGGTGCTCTTCTGACTGTTGTGTTGCAGCGAGCATCGCTGGTCTGTTCTCTGATCCAGAGATCCTGTGCGTGCACGTGTACACATAAAACTGGCAGGCTAACTTGTTCATTTGTAAGCAGGATAAAAACTCGAAGTCTTCACAGTTTCAGCTGAGCTCTAATTGGGTTCCTCCTTCTTCTTATTCTACATTTGGGGAAAGTAAATCCCAGAAAGGAGGCCAAAGTGATTTGGCCAAGTCATGCAGCTATGCAGAGGTGATGGAGTCTGTCTTTTCCATCAACCCTGACAGAGAACACCAGTAAAGTAATAATAGGACCCGGGTTGGAGTCTAAACCCTGCCCTCTAGTTATAGCTGAGGTTTAAGAAATCATGGGCAAAAGCCTTTATTTTCTTATCTGTGAAGGTAGTTTCTCTCTTCTCTATAGCATCATTGTGAGATAAGCTACATGGAAGTGATTCTAAAATAATGTATCAACATCTATTTAGAATGATGATAATGTTGATTAGCCTTGGGATCTTGGAGAAACAGTTTAAAATATTTATGAACATTTACTCGGTGCAAAGTATTGCTCCAAATATTTTACAGGTAGGAACTCTTTCTTTTAAATCTATTTTTAAAATTGTGGCAAAATATGCATGACATAAAATTTGCCATTTAACCCATTTTAGGCGTCCAGTTCAGTACCACTAAGCGCATTCATATTATCGTGTAACTATCACCACCTAACATCTCCAGAACTTTCTCATCTTTCCAGCCGCTGGTTGCAAGTGACAACTCTGAGGACCACCTGTGAGTGGAGTCATACAGTATTCGTCCTTTCGTGATTGGCTTCTTTCACTCAGTATAATGTCTTTGAGCTCCATCCTTGCCGTAGTGTGTACTTGTAGGAATTCTTTGGCCCCTAAACATGTTGGAAATGTTACTATCCTTTTTCATAAATGAGTCAACTAAGACACATAAGGTTTTTTGTTGTTGTTGTTGTTGCTGTTTTTAAATATTTATTTATTTGAGAGAGAGAGAGAGAGAGTATGAGAGAGAGAATGCATAAGCAGTGGGGAGGGATGGAGGGAGAGGGAGAAACAGACTCCCCTCTGAGCATGGAGCCTGATGTGGGGCTTGATCCCAGGACCCTGGGATCATTACCTGAGCTGCAGGCAGTCGCTTAACCGACTGAGCCACCCTGGTGCCCAAAGGCACTAAGGTTTGTGTGACCTTTTCAAGATCCCTCAGCTAGGAATTGGTTAGAGGCTGGATTCAAACACTGGCTCTCTTGCTCCTGTGGTGTTTCCCGAGGGTCTGTCTTCAGTGTTTTGCCATTGTACCCAGTCTGGGTGTTGCCCAGCGTAGCAGGTTGATTGACTACTACTTTTTCAGGCAATGTTCATAAAGAGAGAGAATTTTGGGGGAGCCATGGTGTGGACATTGGACCTGGATGACACCAAGGGTGCTTTCTGTGGCACTGGCCCTTTCCCCCTTGTCAGCAAGTTGAATAGTCTCCTGGTACAGAATGGTGAGTAGCCATTGCCTGGAACTGGGGTTAGAAGTTGTGTAACTGGGCTCTGGCTGGGTCCCTTCTGTTAGATCTGAAGGCTTTGGTGAGGCAGCATGACTTCGAGGGAAGAGAATAAGTTCTGATGTCAGGCCAATCCATTTTCTTGGTTTAGAGATGTGCTCCAAGTGACCTCTCTGAGCTTTGGTTTCCCTATCTGTAAAACAGAAATGATCCTTATACTCATGACATTATTACAAGAATGAAAAGAAGTAAAGAATGAAAACTACGGGCTCATAGTTAGTGTTCAACATATGCTAGTTTATTTCTCTCTTGCTTCCTCCTGTTTTCATGGGACAAGGGCCAGAAAAGGAAGTCAGATTTCTTTTGACATCTCATTGATAGTAGAGACTGCCCCAGTGTTTAGGAGATGGAACCTGGCATGCTAGAGCTGAAACATCCTTTGAGTTGGTTTATACCCATCATTTTATACACCAAGAAACTGGGGCTCAGAAAGCTAACACTGCTAGTCAGGGCCAAAGATAGGACTCCAACCCAGTTCTTTACAAAATGCTGTCTAGAGTGGCCTCCTTGCCTCTTGACATTGTTCCTGGTGCCTCCTACAATGGGGGACACAGGAGGTTTCTGTTATTAGGACTTGGGGCAGCAAGGTCTTGTTGAATGCACAATCAGAGAGGTCAAAGTGAGGCCTTAAGCATAGAAGACTGGCAGGCTCCCTGGGGTCATTCACCAGAAATCTAGTAAATGTTCTGAGTCCCCATGTGTGTCTGGGGTCACGTTAATGTGATGAAGTCAAGGAGCAGGTCTTCCATATGGTGGGATTTTATCTGTGCCCTCAAGTGGGTGTATTATAAAATCCTTCAACTCTGGATTTTGGGAGCATGTACTTCAGTTGTAGTCCTGCCAGTAATTAATAGGATGGGAAGGAAGCAGTAGGAGTCTCATCCTGTTCTGATGATTTTCTCTAGAGTCCAGCTCAACTCCTTCACCAAAAGTTTGGTTCTCAACTGCTATGAATTCTCCAAGAACTGGCCCTGAAAGGCCAGCTATAACCAAAGCTTGGACCGCTGATATGAGGATTTCATTCCCAGGAGGAAAGTCTCTGGCCACTAATACCCATGGAAAGTTTCAAAATATGACTACAAGAAACAGAGGTGGGACTGTGACCCCTACAAGGGAAACTGAGTCCTTTGGAAATTTCACTGTAGCTCTGGAAGGGAGGATTGAGACCGTTGGAGAAACCATGACCAGTGGAGAGACGACTATGATTCCTAATTATTTTTGGACCTCTGGAAGAACCATGCCCCGTGGAAAGAGGGCTATAGACTCTGAGATGATGACTATCCCCTCTGGAAAGATGACAGTCACTCCTGATAGGCAGACCAAGACCCTTAGAGAAGAGAATTTTATTTCTGAGGTGGACACTGACCCCCTGTTGGATTATGTTGTTCCTCACATGGAAGCTGAAAGCAGGAGGTCATCCTCTGGTCCTGTCATCTAGCCCCAGGACACATTCCTCTTGCTTTTGACAATCCCTGTATTCCCATTATGGAAACAATTCCTCTGTCAACCTGATGACCCTTCCAACAAGTGCTCTCTCTCTAAAAAAAGAAAACCCAGAAAATTCTGCTGTGGGTCAAGGAGCCTAAGCTCTGTTGAAGGCAGAAGCTGGGAAAAGCCCTTGTCTTTTCTTGTAGGGAGCTGCTTTTACCCAGACATTCATAAACCCTTCATGGGTATGAGCAGACCCCAACATCAGTGAGATCATCTCTTTTCTGTTGAATAAACTGGAAACACAAGAATCCATCTGAGTTTTCTGGAGTTCTTTTCTTGAAATGACCTGTACAATGTAATTGTCAGCTTCCACCTTTCAAGTTCACTTTCCCCTATAGCTTTTTTTTGGAAAGAGGAAATTTGTGTCTAGCCAGTGCCAATTTTTTTCAATGTGGATTATGTGTTTCCCTCTCTGTCTTGCACAACTACTCCCCTCATGGGTGGTCAGAGATAGGCTGTCTCCCAGCACAGTTTCCCATAATCCTCTTTTTGACTCCAGTGGAACATCTACTCCCATGAATATATTAGAACTACTCTTGCCAATGTCCCTGGTGATACACATGCTGCTCATTGCAGTGGCCAAGTCTCTGTTCCAACCTTCCTTGAGACAGCAGCAGCATTGACACACTTGGTCACTTTGTCCTCCTTGACACTTTCTTCACTGTGCTTCCAGCTTTTGTTTTTACCTGACTGGTCATTTCTTCACAGTATTCTTTGCTGATTTCTCCTCTCATCCCTGATTGCTTAATGCTGGGGAGTACCAAGTATCTTCTCTGGCTCTCTTTTTTTCTATATTTACAAGCACACTTCTGGTGTTGTCATCTAAGCACATCACTTAAACAGCAGCTATAACATTGTCAAGAGAACAAAAGCACAAAAGAACATCTACAGTATCCTATCTTTCATGTAAGAAAAAAGGGGACAGAAAATACATGTGTCTGCTCATTTGTGCCCACGTAATACAGAAAGGATAAACAGGGAAACAATGAGTTTGGTACCTGTAGGAGTTGAGTGGAGATAGAGTGGAAAGAATGGGAGACTAGGGACAGGTTACCAGGGAAGGGTGGATTGATACTTACCTGAGTACTCATATTTGTCTAATTCGGAATTTAGAACCACGAAAATGCTTCACATGATCCACAAAAGTAAATAAAATCAACCCAAAATTGAAATACAAAGAGTAACAAATGTATTTAACTGTATTAAAAATACAAGAACAACATAATCACATTGAAGGAATTAGGGAAGGAAAGAACTAACCTTAGTACCTTTGGAAAATAACATTTTGCTTCTTTATTGAAAAGCTAAAGACAAAAGGAACTATGAACAAATACAGTACTCTAGAAAATTTGCTGTTTATAGGTATATAAGTTAGCAATTCTGAAACTGCCTTATGTGTATTCCAGAATTAAACACAGAAGGAAACATACTGTGGGTAAGAAGAGCCATGTTTCTCACAGTCAGAGAAATAGTTACAGATAGGAAAAAAGGAAAGGTAAGAATGAATCCTGGGGTGTTGGATTCAGATGTATCAGCAGGAAATCATGATTTTAAAAATATTTATGGATTAGTTCATACAGAGATTGATACAGAAATATGTGTATACAAAAATGTATTTCCTGCTTTCACCAATGGAAAGGGCTAGAGCAATGACATCTTAATACACTGACTACCTTGAAGAGAAGGTCCCTGAGCACCCCTTGAATAAGTGGGGATGGAAGCCTGTGTATCTTGCTACCCTCTTCCCTCTCCTGCTAGATAATTCTGAGTGATAATTCTGGGTGGAAGGCACTGTGCTTAGCACAGTGGGTGATATTTCAGAACCCAGGCTTCTACAAGACTTTAAACCCAGTGGGAGAGAGAAGACAAGTAGTCCACGATTTGTTTCTGATAGAAACGAGTGGTTGCTCTATGCTTCACAGGCATGGCATCTCATGCTGAGGAAGCAGACTCAGAGAGCTTTGTACTAATGTCTTGCTGCAGAGAAGACTTGGTAAGTGCAGTAAGAGAGCCTGCAGTGTTAAGGGATTGACAAGAGGTCAGAGACGCACATGTGTGCTGGACAAGTCCCAGGAATGGTTGGCAGATTGTAGGTGGGTGGACAAGGGGGCAGGACACAGGCTCAGTGGGCGTGGCTAATTAGCAGGCACCAGCTGTCTCCACACAGGAAAGTGAGCTGTGGACTTGATGTTAGGAGCTTTCGTCACGTTCTCATTAGACTTTTGAAAGAGTGCCATGAAGAGTGCCTGTTTCTGTTTCTGTGAAGTTAGGAATGTTGCCACCAGGAGGCAGCAGCATGCAGGGTTACATTTTCTAGGCAGGCAGTGGACAACTAGGAGTGGAAGAACATGTTAGAATCCCTTTCTACAGAAAACTAAGTCACATGTAAATCTCTGTCATTATCGTTAAAGCTGATATTTTTGTGCACATTGAAGCAGAGAGAACATGAGCTTAGAGGAGGAGGCTATGCTGAGATACGGGTTGAGTTGAGGCAAACGGGACTTGAAGTCTCAGCTCTGCCTTTGGTTAACTATGTGATCACGGGGAAGTTAAATCAGCTTCTTGGGTTGTTACAATGGTTAAATGAAATATATGTCTGGTCCAAGGTCGATATGTGGGAGTTGTAGATATAAGCATATCTTCTGTAGATCTTCTAGTTTCCCTCTAATAATTTCTTTCTATAAAGAAATATTAGATCATGCATGTGAAATTGGAAACTCTTTGGGTTTGTGTATAGCTCAAAGGCTTCAAGGCAGATTCATGACAAAGTTCCAGTAACTTCTCTTGTGCCCGCTACAACTTTATGTAGGGAGTCATTTTGTAAACTGACTTCTTTCACCACATGCTTCTAGAAGGCTACAATCTAGACATTAGTAAAGGATATATAAAAAGCATTAAGTGTTTCATTTCCTTGATTAAAACAAATTAATGGCTCCTTACTGCTTAAGGAATAAAGTCCATGTTATTTAATATGGCATACGAGGTCCACATCAGCAACAAGTCATGCCAGTGTAGTCACCTACTACTGTGCTCCAAGAGTTTGATCCAGATGCTCCATGGCCTGCTTCATCAGTATGAGGCTTAATAATAAATAGTTTGATGGAACAGAAGTTAAATACTGTGGAAAAATTTGTAAGATGTGGGTCAGTGGGGAGGGAGCCAAGATGGTGGAGAAGTAGGGGACCCTATTTCAGCCAGTCCCCTGAATTGGGCTGGATAGCTACCAGACCATTCTGAACACCCATGAAATCAGCCTGAGATGTAAGAAGATATATCAGGTTCTATACCAACAGAACCTCCGGTGGCTGGTTTTGAGGTATGAAGAGGGGAGCGTATTCTGCAGACAGATATCAGAAGATAGACGGAAGGAGGAAGGAGCCACCATAAGCACCAGTGCGGGAAGGTGAGATAACACAGGAGCTCAAAAGCATCCCACGCTGTGGCTCAGGCACAGACTTGCAGACTGGTAGCCATGGGGAAAAGTCTTAAGGGAAGCCCCCCAAACTGAAACCTGGAGATATGGGGGCACTCATGTGAACTGGGGGTTGCTGGCAGTTTTAGAAGCATAAAGGGCAGAGACGTGCCTGGACCTGGAAGTGAGGGCTAGGAGTGCTGCTATGGGGCGCACAACCCAGGAGGCTGTGGTTTTCAGCAGCACAGACAAAAGTGGAATCAGTGTGGTCTGGAGGACTTTCTGGAGAACAGACTGCGATCTCTCTGTTCTGAGAGAGGACAGGATATGGTTACTTCTGCTCTGACTCTCTAAAAAGACACAGAGAGGGGCGCCTGGGTGGCTCAGTGGGTTAAAGCCTCTGCCTTCGGCTCAGGTCATGATCTCAGGGTCCTGGGATCGAGCCCCGCATCGGGCTCTCTGCTTAGCGGGGAGCCGGCTTCCTCCTCTCTCTCTGCCTGCCTTTCTGCCTACTTGTAATCTCTGTCTGTCAAATAAATAAATAAATAAATTAATTAAAGGAAAAAAAGACACAGAGAGCCACCAGGGAAAGCCACCAGAGAACCAAAGGCCCCCAAACCAGTTTTCACTGAGTCCATTCCCCCCCGCCCCACAGGGGCAAGGCAACTCTGACCAAATAAGGTTGCCTGAGTAACAGGGTGACAGGCCCCTCCCCTAGAAGACAGAACAAGAGGCTGACAACCCTAAGGTCCCTATAAAACAGGTGCATCTTGCTAGGGTTGTGGTCAATAGTTTGGAATCTGTACAATCCCTCAACCACATCTCACCAGAATGACTAGGAGGAGGAACCCCCAACACAGGAAAACTTCAGAGACTGTGACCTCTTCCACAGATCTAATGGATATGGATATAAGCAAGAAGTCAGAAATAGACTTGAGGGTAACAGTTATGCAGACAGTAGTTAGGTTGAAGAAAACCATTAATGGCAACATAGATTCTTTAAGGGCAGAAGTGAGACCTGATCTGGCAGAATTTAAAATGCTATCAATGAGATCCAATCTAATCTAGATACTCTGACAGATAGAGTAAGAGACAGAAGAATGAATTAGTGATCTAGAAGACAAATTGATAGAAAAGAAGGATCAGGAGGAGGCCTGGAACAAACAGCTTAGAATCCATGAAAACAGAATTAGAGAAATAAATGATGCCATGAAATGTTCCAATGTCAGAATTACTGGAATCCCTGAGCGGGTACAGAGAGAGAGAGAGAGAGAGAGAGAGAGAGAGAGAGAGGAACAGAAGATAGATTTAAGCAAATCCTAGCTGAGAACTTCCCTAACCTGGGGGATGAAACAAGTATTTGTGTTCTAGAGGCAGAGAGAATACCCCCAAGATCAAGAAGAGCAGACTGACCCCCAGGCATGTAATAATGAAACGCATGAATCTTAAAGCCAGGGAAAACATCTTAAGGGCAGCTGGGGAAGAGATTCCTTAGGTACAGAGGGAGGAACATCAGAATAAAATCAGACCTGTCCACAGAAACCTGGCAAGCCAGAAAGGGCTGGCAAGACATATTCAGAGTACTAAATGAGAAGAACATGCAGCCAAGAATATTTTATCTGACAAGGCTGTCATGTAGAATGGATGGAGATATAAAGGGATTCCAAGACCAGCAAAAACTGAAAGAATATGTCACCACTAAGAAATATTAAGGGTGGTTCTATAAAAGGAGAAGGACCCAAGAGTGATATAGAACAGAAATATACAATCTATAGAAACAAGGACCTCACAGGCAGCATGATGACCATAAAATCATATCTTTTAATAATCAC